TGAATGCACAAAATATTTATCTTCCTATGAATCATAATATATATTAATTCCATTAATTTTCCTATAAGGCAACCTATATTCCAAATTCCTATCCTAATTTTAGTTTCATGGACTAGCTTCTTTTCCCACATCCGTCCTTTGATGTGGGAACCCTTGCCTATTTAACACTGCATCCGGGCGCAGGTGCAGCGGCTCTTGCACACTTGTCACTGTATTCAAGCCATACAGCACGTCGCTTCCAGGGGACGCCCTAGCATTAACACAATTTCTTAAAGGATTCATATCATTATTATTCGACAAGTTTTACGCTAGCTGTCGACTACCTTGCACACTTGTCACTGTATTCAGGCCATGCGTTAGATGAGTAAGAAGCATATGATTATAATTATCTCATGATATGAATGTAAGGCTATGACACATTTTGCTTGCTAAATGATTTGAATCAAAACTCTTATAGAAGAATTTGGATTTCTTAATATATAGCTCATGATCCTTAACTGCAATAATAAAGTAAATATCTAAATTGCAAGAAAACCTATCTTGTATTGAAGAAATAATACATTGAAATAGACTATAATTTCATCATAGCTGCAATTTTGTCAAAGAAAATTATCACTTATTACATCTTTAGTGAAGAATAATTTACTGATATCTTTACCGAAACTTTGGGATCTCCTTGTTTTTCCAAAATTTACAATAACTTGAAACTCATTGATATATATGCTCTAGCTTGATAGGCTAGTATTATTGTAGGAAAACGCCATCTTTGAAAAGTAATAGATTTCTACCATTATAATTGAGAATATTCACCTCCTTATTTTTTTCTTTCTTTTAGCTATGGATAGGCATAAGTCATAATACCTTCAATGAATCAGAGATCCTCGAACTGAAATCTCGTGCAGCTTTCATTGCATTCACATAGTCCATCTGTAATAAAGCCAGGCAGATCATGTCCAAGAATATGTTAATAAGGAAATTCTATGAGCATAAAATCTACCAGAAAATTACTTGTCCACTAAGGGGTTTATGATATGTTCGAAATGATGATGCCCGGATCATTCCACTGTCAAAACCTGATATACAAAATAGGATATTTTTATGAGTTCGAAAGCAATATTTTACAATACACAGAGAAAACGGACCAGTAAGATCAATGCTGGATGAGTATGTTCCACTGCCACCCTTAGCACAATTAGCTGATGGAGATGCCTTGAGAAACCATGGAAGCTTCTCTTTAAACTGTGCTGTAGATGGACGGCCTTCATACAAATCTGACTGGTGAAAACACTAAAACCACACAAATAAAAATCATTTTAGTTCTAAAAGGAAGTTTAAAGGCAGATCAGATGCCAACAAGCAATCTAAAAGGTACTCAAAGTAGAAACAAAAACTCTGAACTAAAATTATAATGAATTAACAAAAAGGAAAATTGCAAAGTTTGTTGCAAGAATAGTGAGTTTAGGGGTTTCCAAGCTAATCACCGTAGTGCAGTCTTTGCACGCCCCATCAATGCTACACGAGCCCTCATTAGGCTGACAGCATGGAAACTGCATAGAAATGCATGGAAGTTTCAAGTTTTCAGGATAAAGTTTACATGTTATCTGCCATAAAACAGATAAAAATGCAATTTAAAGATGCGCAGATTGGAAGCAACAAACCTAGATGATACACTAATGTAGCATAAAAACATGTGTTTTTTTAATTATGAAGGGAAGCACAGAAACCACAGAGAATGCCAATATATTAAAGTAGAATGAAGCTCTAAAAACTCAAGGGCATGGCTCTAAAAAGAAGAGGCCTTAAATTCCAGCTTGTAGCAATAAAAAGGGCGTAAGGGTTGTTTGATTGGAAATATTAAGAGTGTAAAGTAAAAAATAATGCAGGGGTTTGATTTTTATTTTGTGTTTGATTAGAAGTAAATCGAATAAAAAGCATTTGTGGAGGGGATTTAGAATGACTCGTAATGTCTATTATTAATGAATTTAAAATAGAATTTTGATGTGAAACTACTAGGAGTTACGATCAAAATTAA